TTGTCTACGTGCAACTAAAGCCAGCCAAAGATGGTGTGATTTTTCTGCAGGAAAGAAAATCATTCAATTGTGTTGATGGGGGAATCCCTCCCGTGGAGCCATTGTGTTTTTCTAGCAGGGGGAGCTGTCCCCGGCAGAAGAACACAGTGATACTAGCAATAATCTCATATAAAAACGCGACAAGCTGGTTGTACTGAAGTTGTTCGATCGAACGAACTTGAATACCTTTAGCCTGCCCATACATGGTTCGAATCTCAGCCAGTGCCTGCTGAACCGCCCAAGATTCAACCACTCTATGACCGGCTTTACTCATCTCTCATCAGGCGTGGGAGAGGATTTAACAGTTTTACAGCGTAGGCAGTGCTGTTGGCAGCAGAAATACCGGGCTACATTATTAAAGGGCCATTTATATTACTCCAGGTTTAGTTTAAATGCAAAAAAGATCATCATTTATGAATAAAGTGTACGTTTAAAGCAGACCTTCCATGACAAAAGGAAAGTCTGCTTCCCTGCCAGCACCCCACCTCCCAAAGCAAAATTAGCATTCAAAAAACAAAAATAACAAAAAAAGTTTAAAAAATACCTCAATCTTCGCGTCTGTGAGGCATGGGTTACACGCTGTGCCTTACTGCTGCCTCCTGTGATAATTGGGCACTCAAAAACCTATGAGAATGCACTCTACTCCATTGAAGGAGTGCATTCTTGCAGGATTACGAGTGACCAGGAGGCAGCAGTGAAGGGCGACGACGTATCTGCAGCTCCCAGAAGTCTAGACAGAGGTAAGTAGCTTATCGTATGTTTACTGTTAAAGTTTTATTCACAGCTTTTTGTTTGGGTGAAGGGGGGTTGGCAGGTAGGCAAGCCTTCCATTTGCATTTATCTGCTCTTATATTTAATTAGCTTTCAGGGCTTTTATAAAAGGAGGCCCAATAAAAATTTGAAGATCCAATAAGATGGGGAACCCAAGGGTGTGAAAACCCTACAATTTCTTAAAGTAGAACTAAAGGCAAAACTTTTTTTTTTTAAATTTGGACAACTACAGGAGGATTAATATTGGTCAGTTTTTTTCCCCCCATCTATGCCCCCATTTCATGAAAAGTGCTGTAATCCCTCTCTACTCTATCCAGATCTAAAAAAAAAATGTTTGCCTTTAAATTATACTCTAAATCACGCTAAAAGCACAATTAAAAATGTATATTTCTATATAGGCATTCTTGAGTTTTATAGAAATCTGTTATAATGGACAGCCAGGCAGGTGACACACTCATTTCTGGTTCAACAATACAGCTTCCTAAGTCACATCTCTACCCCAGGCCTGGACAATATATCAGCACGCCATCATCATGTCCATGTGTACGCAGAGGGCTACAGATGTGTTACAAGACTGGCTGTACAAAATTTCAAATCTGGTAAAAACATATATTTCAAAAGTGTTCCACTTTAATATAAAGACAAAAATCTAGACATTTCCATCTGAGTACACAATAACTGCAGGCTACTCCACACATATTTTTGTTAGTACTGAAAATTTGCAATAGGAGGCCAGAACAGAAGATCAACCATACAAACAGCACACAAACATTGCCTTCATCACCACACAGAGTACTCACTGCCATAGAGAGATAGTAGGACCTGCTATATAAGTGAGGGAACATCTGAGTAAACTAGTGGAAGATAAAATATAAAAATATAAAATTTTTACATAGAAAGAAAAAAGGGAAAATGCAAACAAGTAGGCAGGAAGATTAAATATTGATGATGTTATAACCTAATAAACCTAAAGAGTATGTAAACCCAACATTTCATATTGCTGATATGTGCCTACTGTACCATATCCTGTTCTCTTTGTATTGCTTCCTTTGTGTGAAGTGCCTGGCGTTTCTGCCAGTCCCTCTGCCTTCCTATTAAAAACTGACCAAATTTCATTTAGTCTGACAAAGCTAGTTGGATATCCCCAGACTTGCCCCATCGGAGTTAGCGATGAATAGATTGCCGTCGCTGTAAGAGACACTAACAATGCCATTGTTTGGTTTTTTGCCTTAGTAGATAGAAACTGTTTTACAGTTTCTGTACTTGTTATTTAAAAGCTTTGTGCCTTAAATAACATCGAGAAGAACAGTTTTAGATAGTGCTTTTGTCTTCTGCAGAATATCTGCAAAACTTTGCACTATTGTTCTTTCTTGTGCTGCTATCTTTATTAGGCTGGCTTGACCTATGATGAAGATGATTATACTATGCAATACTGTATAATTGTACATTAGGTAACCTGTTACCTTTCTTATCTCGCCAATTGCTACTGATAAAAGAGTTTGGATTTAAAAAAAAAACAAAACTGAACACACCAAGCAGGAGAACACACCGTGGTCAGTTCTCTAGCTGTGCTGGGAACTCAGCTTGCTCTCCTCCAATGATCAGACTTGCTTCTCCTTCCCAGGCTCTTATGCAGCTGAGAAGAGAGGGAATGTGATCACTTATATACCAAAGGGGAAATGTTTTATTTTTTTTTGTTTTTTTTATCTATAATCAAATGTTTTGCCTTTCATTTCTATTTTAAAATGAATGGGTTGTTTTACAACGTGAGGGTTTACATATACTTTAAAGTGAACCTGTAGCATCCTTGAATCCGGATTCCTCGGTAATGCAAATGATAATGAATCCTGCTCTACCTCCTCAAGCCCCCAAGCCACAGCAGGTAATTGACCTCAACTGCACGCAATGTCTCCTCGTCCAAGTGGCATACAAGCCCAAGGGAGGACATTTTGAAAGTGTAAGGAGGAGCAGGTATTCACACCCTTGGAATATACAGGCCACCAGAAAGGTAAGTATAGTGTCTTCCTTTATAAGGATGCCATTTTTTTTTTTTTTTTTTTAAACCTATAGTGACAGTGTCAAAAATATTGAAGCCAGGGACTAAAATAATAAATCCAGAGCTAAAGAACTTACATGCCCAAAAGCACACAATTAATATATAGTGGAAATGCTACAAAATAAATTATCCTCCTCTTATTATGAGTAAGCATTGGTTTAACTCCTTAGAAAGAACCAATTTTCAATTCCTGAATATAAAATGACAGCACTTTTTTTTTTTTTATTACCCACTTTGAAGTACAGTGGAGAAAGCATGTAAAGTACTTTAAATAAATATTTATATATGTCATTCTGACACAGTAAAGTAGTATCAAAGTTTGAGAACGTATGACTAGGAAATCAAAAAGCACAGCAGTAGTCCTTTAGGAAACTATATAAAAATAAACGCAGACACTCAACGCATAGGAAACAATTTGCAGATATTCTAGAATAAAGAATTCAAACTGCAAAACCATTAAGCTGTACAGAGATGTGCTCTGCTAAGATGTGTCACCAAATGAGGATCATTATCATTAAAGCTTCTTTTTTAAAGAGGAAATGAATGCATTTTACGACAGACTGCTAGCAGGCAGGCTATTATTGCAGAAGAAACATGTAGTCTCTCTTCTGCAATAAAATACGCCTTCCTGCCTGTTTGCAGTCTTCTGCAGCATGTAAACAGATTTGCACTTGTGCAGTTCAGCTTACATCGTCACTACGGTCCCTGTGTGCTAGGATAACTAACTCCTGCACATGCACAGAAGTTACGTCATCTCGCTCTGACTAATGGGAGATGCCCAAAGACCGGCAACCGGGGAGATGCTGGTGCTGGCGAGGGACCTGGTCTGTTGGAGAGAAGGAAAGTACAGTGCCTTTAGTTCCGGTTTAACTCAGCTTCTGAGGATTATGTCCCCCTTTCTAGAAGCAGAAACTATATCTAGTGGGGTTGACATGTCACATTTAAGGAAATCTGTCATGAAGGAAACTTGTAGGATGCCATTGGTAAACCCTACTTCTGAAAACGCTATCTACCTGTGTCATAGGTAGAAATTGTCATAGATTAGAAATTTACACTTACTCACACTCACCCGCCACTTTTTTAAGTACATCTGTGCAATTGCTTGGTAACATAAATTTCTAATCAGCCAATCACATGGCAGCAACTCAGTGCATTTAGACATGTAGATGTGGTGAAGACAACTTGCTGAAGTTGAAACTGAGCATCACAATGGTCAAAGAAAGTGGACTCAAGTGACTTTGAATGTGGCATGGTTGTTCATGCCAGACAGGCTGTTCTGAGAATTTAAAAAAACTGCTGATCTACTGGGATTTTCACACACAGCCACCACTAGGATTTACAGAGAATGGTCCAATAAAGAAAAAATATTCAGTGAGCAGTTGTGTGGATAAAAAATGCCTTGTTGATGTCAGAGGTCGAAGGAGACAATGCTGCGATATTCAGATGGTAGGGTCAGAATTTGGCGTAAACAACATGAAAGAATGGATCCATCCTGCCTCGTATCAATGGTTCAAGCTGGTGGCGGTGGTGTAATGATGTGGGGGATATTTTCTTGGCACTAGCAAGGTGCATCTAACAAAGAGGCCGGTGACTGTATTTGATACTTTAATAGACTTACCTGAAACAAGTATGCAGGGAAGGACTTCTGTAATTCTCTGGCTTATCTGATTCTTGTTTTGGGTGTGTCACTTAATGCATTAGAGACACTGGGAGGATATCAGCTAGGGATCTAACATCTTTAGAAAGATATGAATATTGGCAGCCCCAAGTCTCTATTGACAGGTTTCTTTAGTCAGCACCAACTTGCAGGACATCTTGTGACAACCATCTAAAGTGCCTTAATTGCAGTGTCTTGGAAAGGGCCAGGAGCTAATTTTCTCTGATATTTACCTGTTATCCCTGGTTTGTTATGGTGAGTGAACTTTGTGTTTGCAAAATCCATAAAATAAAAACAGAGGTATTTCCGTTTCTTTTAGTGCTTTACTTAAACTTCCTAAAGGGTTTCTATCAGCTGCTTGGGTCTTCAGTTCCATGTATTTGTTTCACATATTTATATTATACTTTGCTACAAAGGTTATGTGTTCCGGCTTCATAATAAACATAATAAAGTGTAGAAATGAAGTGGTAGAAGTACCTGTTGGACAAATACATTGTTTAGGTGGCTGGCTAGTCGGCGAGCAAACTGCTCTCTGAGGTCAGTGAAGAGCTGCTGTTGCTGTTTTACAGCTTGAAGCATTGAGTGTCCTAAAAAGGAACAAGAAGTCAGTAGGATATAAAAGAGGTCAACAAAAGCAAAAAACTGACTACTACAGACCAGATTAAAGTCAACATCAACAGATTACTATTTGCCCCCAAATTCTTGTGCCCAGTGCATACAGGCGAAATTCTGAGGGGTTTCTGCTCAGGAAGGTGCTTAGAAAAAAGCAGCGAGATAATGAAAACGAAACTTCTTTTACAGAGCATGTTCAAAAAGACAAATATTGAATCCAGCTGGTCAGCATCATGGCTAAGCAACTAGTAATATCAAGAGGAGACCTGCAACTGCAGTAACCATGTATATTTTAGGAAATGTTACTTCAGCCGGGTCCTCTTCACCCTGCATATGCACAGTCCATGCATTCCTATGGGAAGTGTTCTTCACAGAATGCTGGAGGCCAACATGAGTATGGCTCCCTATAGGAATGAACAGATGCACAATGTGGAGGACCTGACGGGGACACTTCCAGAAGAAAAGGCAATGCAGCACAAGGCACAGCCGCACAGTGAAGATGGGTACAGTCATCCCTTAATAGTCAAATTGTCCAAAGGCAATGGAGAGGTCAGGTGAAGTGACCCTGACTGCTCTCAGCTTCCCTGCAGCAACTGGCATGGCTATTATTCTCTCTCACTACTAAAGAAATTCACTGCATATGTACCGCTTTCTAAGCCAGGTAAAATGCTGACAAAAGCTAAAAGTCTGCAGGCTTTGACCAATTATACTAGGTGCTGTGTCATAGGTGTTTATCACCTAGCAGACAAGGGAGTGATTTACTACAAGGCAAATAGGCTATTCACTTTTCAAAGGAATTTTTTTTTGCCAGAACTTAGTGAATGTTCTAAAAAAAATTTTTGCAACTACCCAACCATGTGCAAGGAAAAAAAAATACACAACAGCATTTTTTCTTGCACATGATTGGATTATGGAAGTCAGCAGAGCTTCACCTCATTCACTAAGCTAAGGGTAAATTCCCTTGCAAAGTGAAAATTCTCTAGCTTTGTCAATAGAATATTAACCTTTAGAAAATCAACCCCAATGCATCAACATCAAGTGGTGTGATTCAGAGAAACGTATGCAAACCTAGTAACACACAAACCACATCCTTTTCCTCTCAAAGTTCCACCAAGGTCAGTTCCGTTCATTTTCAGGATCTATCACTACATTAATGGTGCCATGACCTTTGTATGCACTGTACATTTAGGAAACCATAAGCAGATACTGTAAAATGCATTATTTTTCTAAAACTGTTTACTTTGCGGTTGTGGCTTGTGGTCAAGGCATGATAATATCAAAGAGCTGATCCCAAAGACAATGAAATACCACACACTCTCATATTAGAAATGTTGTATAAAGTGGATACCTGGTTGAAGAGATACATTCATACACTGTAGAAGAGCCTCCGCTGCATTAGTACAAGCCTCAATACCACGAGAGGAAGAAAGGTCAGCTTCTTGAAGGGCTTTAATGTGACCCTTTGATAGGTCCATGTGGTTCTAGAACACAATCCAATACAGCTGGTTAGCAATATAGACTACAATGATATTTATTGGTATTATGTAGCCTCAACAACATGACATCAAGATCACTGCCTCAGAGAATCACAGGAAGCTTTGTAATCATTCATAGACTATAAAGCTCCCTGTGAATGGATGAGCACCACTCAGTCCAACTCGATTTTGTTCCAGAGTAAGACAAAGTTCCAGCCCCTCTTCCGGAACACAGAGCTGTATACTCTATGTAGCTGAGGTTACAAACAATGTATACAGAGCTGACAGCTGCTGCGGAGGTTTCTGCTAGCACGATTCAAACTATTTAAAACCTCATGAAAACCTGGAGTTAGGCTTAAAAAACCAGTGAAAGGCTTTCAGATAAAAGCTCTAGAGCTGCCTGATCCCTTTTATGGGGCTCTGAAAGTGTGCATGTTCGCCCCTTTGTGGGGACAATAAAGTTAAAGAAAAACAATGTATAAAAAAAATATATAAAAAAAACAAATAAACAAAAGCAACTAAAAACTAAATATGTAAAGCACCTCATCACCTCTGAACACACCCCAATTAAAACATGCAGCATAGTGCAAACACATATATGTAAACATAACTTGTACAATCCATATGCGATATCGTTGTGAATGTCAGAATAAGAGCAACAAATCTAGAATCATAAACAATTACCATGGTGTAAAGGCTTTTAAAGTGGTGGCTATGGAGATAAAAAAAATTGCAAATGCCACCATTTTGTTTTCCAGGATTCCTGCTTTCAGAAAATATGTACTTTTTGGGTAGAGAACTGTGGGGTAAATGAACTTCTAGCAAAAAATGCAGATTTTTATACGCGTGTGAAATATTTAAAATAGTTCTAAAGCCAGGATATGTTTTAACTTCATGCATTCTCTGCATTAAGGTAAAAAAGTCCTATATATACTTACGTGAGTCCCATCTTGATTCAGCGCTGTGCCCTTCTGCAGTCATTCTGGTCTGTGTTCCTCTTCTCACAGGACACAGAGGCAGCAGTGGGAGCCTTTGGCTCCTGCTCCTGTCAATCAAATCCTGTGAGGATGACGTGGCTGGTTGCCGAGCCATTCTGTGTGTGTCTATATATCACGAAAGAGTCCACAGGTGTGCCCCAAAGATAGCAGCTTGCTATGGGGGCACACACAAAAGAGAAGAGCTGAAGGTGCTGGAGGGGAACCCCAGAAGAGGAGGTTAGGGACTGCTCTGTGCAATACCATTGCACAGAGCAGGTTAAGTACAACATGTTCATTATTTTAATGTAAAAAATATATACTTTACAACCACTTTATAAAATACTTTATAGGTAGAAAAATAATTAATACCCATCAGTTCATGTGAGATAGGCAAACAGGTTAGCCATATATTAATAAACCACAGGTCTCACTGGAACAGTCAAGTTAAACAAGGAGTTGAGATCCGGGACCGTTGATGATCAAAAAATACACTGCTCAAAAAAATTAAAGGAACACTTTGAAAACACATCAGATCTAAATGGGAAATAATATCATACTGGATATCTATACTAATATGGACTTAGGTAATGTGTTAGGAATGTAAAGATGCCCCATTGTTTGATGGAAATGAAAATTATCATCTTACAGAGGACTGAATTTAAAGACACCCCGAAAATCAAAGTGAAAAAATGATTCAGCAGGCTAGTCCATTTTGCATGCCAGACAACATCGGGCCATGCTCCTAACGAGACGATGGAGGTGTTTTATTGGATTTAGGTCAGGCGAGCGTGGGGGCCATTCGATGGTATCAACTCCTTCATCCTCCTGGAACTGCCTACATACTCTCGCCACATGAGGTCATTACCAGGAGGAAACCAGGACCCACTCCACCAGCGTAGAGTCTGACAATAGGTCCAAGGATTTCATCCCGATACCTAATGGCAGTCAAGGTACTATCTAGCCTGTAGAGGTCTGTGCGTCCCTCCATGGATATGCCTCCCAGACCATCACTGACCCACCACCAAAATGATCATGCTGGATGATGTTACAGGCAGCATAACGTTCTCCACGGCTTCTCCAGACTCTTTCACATTTGTCACATGTGCTCAGGGTGAGCCTGTTCTCATCTGTGAAAAGCATGGGGCGCCAGTGAAGGACAATTCTGGTGTTCAATATCAAAATGTCATTCAAGCTCTATGGTGCCAGGCAGTGACCACAGGACCCACTAAAGGACATCGAACCCTCAGGCCACCCTCATGAAGTCTGTTTCTGATTGTTTGGCCAGAGACAGTCACACCAGTGGCCTTCTGAAGGTCATTTTGTAGGGCTCTGGCATTGCTCATCCTGTTCCTCATTGCACAAAGGATCAGATACCAGTCCTGCTGATGAGTTAAAGACCTTCTATGGCCCTGTCCAGCTCTCCTAGAATAACTGCCTGTTTCCTAGAATCTCCTCCAAGCTCTTGAAACTGTGCTGGTAGACACAACAAACTTTCTGGCAATGGCATGTATTGATGTGCCATCCTGGAGGAGTTGGACTGGCTGCTCAACCTCTGTAGGGTCCAGGTATCACCTCATGCTACCAGTAGTGACACTGACCCTAACCAAATGCAACACTAGTGAAAAACAGTCAGAAGAGATGAATAAGGAAACAAATGTCAGTGACCTCCACCTGTAAAACTATTCCTGTTTTGGGGGAGTCTCACTATTGCCCATCTAGTGCACATGTTGTCAATTTCATTAACACCAAAGCAAAATTCAATCGTATAGTTTTTTGCTACACTTCTGGAGCTCCAACAGCAGAAATATGGCTCTCCTGCACATAAATCATCATGTCCACTCATCTTCTCCTGTATTTATTCACAGAATCCTTTGTATTTTGTGAATACATTCACAGAATACAAAGCATTCTGTGATTGGAAGAATGGAGAGATGACAGGATGACTGCTGTGTAGGAAAAGCCACTCCTGTCATAATGCTGAAACAACTGTATATTCTCTTTTAAAAAGTAATGTAAATGCTAGTAATTGCTTGCTGCACAAAATGCTCCTCAAATCAGTAATTACAAACTGCTATCTGAAGGAAACGGATTTTACGTGGCACAAATAATTGTACAGTATAGGCCCAATGCAATCTGTGCAGCTGAAAGAACCTCCAAAAACATTGTACTTACAACAAGAAACTCAATCTCGCCCAGCAGTCTCTCACTGTTGGTTTTGCTGAGCTCAATGAGATGGTTACTTTCAGAAATCTGATCCATCTGCTCTTTCACACTTTGCAACATCTCTTCATAGCTGCTCAGCTTCCCTTCTATCTGGTCCACCTCTTTTAGGGCCTCGTCCAGCAACTGCATAAGGATGTTAACCTGTTTCTCTGAAGCCATGATGGACTGGATATTTGCCTGGAAGTGACGAGAAACATCCTTAGCAGACTAACACAAGATTGGAAGAGATAACAGTGTAATTACATGTGATTATTGACATAATGGGGTAATTTACTAAAAGCAAATAGGCTGTTCACTTTGCAACGGAATTTTCCCCAGAGCTTAGAGAATGTTGTTAAATCTCACTTTGCAAAGGATACCCAATCACATGAAAGAAAAATAATAAAAAAAAAAACATATTGATTTCACATGATTGGCTGACAGAAGACAATAGAGCTTCACTAAGCTCTAGAGGAAATTGCCTCACAAAGTGCAACTTCCTTTACAAAGTGAACAGTCTATTTGTCTTTAGTAAATCATTCCCGATATGTTTATAATAGCCAACTTGCATCCCTTGTTTGGAGGCTGTGGCCTTCAGTGAAGCCAGATCACAAGCTGTGTGTAACTTTTTGCTGTTCCTAAAATATCTGTTCATATATCATCAGCAGCACTGTTCCATATTTGCAAAAAGTGAAATGTTGGCACAGCAAAAGCCATTCCCATCACATCCCACGCAATGCAGGTGCAACTCAACTGACCACTAAAACACCCACATTGCATCGGGAAACCCAAACACTACTTAAAAGCATTAGAATGCTCCTGGGCCATAGTGGAGGCAAAATGAAGACGGTAACTGAAGTTTACAGGAACTGGGTGATTGCGGATAACAAAAAGGTGAGCCCTTGTGGGAAACCCATGCAAACACAAGCACAAAGTTCATATAGATTGTTTTCTGGTCTGGTGGAAATCTAAACTTCTGCTAATCCATGCCAATAAGGGAAAGTAGCACTGAAGATTTTAAAGTGATATTTAAAACAAACATGTCATACTTACCTACTCTGTGGAATGGTTTTGCACAGAACAACCCCAATCCTCTTCTCCTCAGGTCCCCCTGCCAGTGCTCCTGGCTCCTCTCCTTGACCACTGCCCCACTAGTAAGCAGCTTGCTATGGGGGCACTGGTACATGCTTGCTCTCGAGTCCCACTCTATGTGCCCCACCCCCTCTCTCTCCTCATTGGCTCACTGGATGTGATTGACAGCAGTGGGAGCCAATAGCTCCTGCTACTGTCTCAGCCAATGAGACAGAGACCCAGGACAATCGAGGCTCCTGTGCACATCACTGGATCAGGGGCTCAGGTGAGTATTGGGGGGTTACCTTCATACATAAAAAAAGTCAGCCTTCAAAAACACTTTAAATGTTTCCTCAATAACCATGTTACAATATAGAGGCCATACCCCATCCAGGACCTGTAGCTCCCTTGAAAGTTTCTCAGCAAAGGCCTCAGCATTGGAAATGGCATATTCACAGCCCTCCATCATGAACTCGATATCCTGCTTCTCCCTAGCATTCAGCTCTTGGTATTCGGCAGCTGCTTCTTCCTCTCCCCCAGCCACACTCTGGTTCTCTCCACTAGGAACAGACTCTTCAAGATGATGCAGGTGAAGGCAAAAATAATTAAGGAAAGAATACACTGTTAGAATCCATGGCACAAGAAATCAGCAGTTACTGGGCAGAGGCTCTGCAGCATGGGAACACACAAGGTCAGGTTTACAGATTTAGAGAGCAAGAATGGAAAATGAAAGATTAGAGAAACAAAAAAATAATGTTTCAAAAATTAACAATACTTAAACAAGGGATGGAATAAAATAATAAGATGGGCATGAATAATATGTTTATACTAGCAATTATAGCATCCACTGCCTCGTCTCCCAATCCGCCCCCTCCTGGTGACAGCGGGACCATCTCCGCCCCCCTTCTGTCCCCTTCACCCACATGGCCACGTCATCCATTCATAGTGTTCTGTGAATGAATGTCTACAAGTACAATCAGCCATTGCAGCCGATGACTTGCAGTCCTCAATGAACTGCAAGGTCAGTTCATTGATTCTTCCTGCCATTCAGTAACTGCCTGTCTGTATTGGAGAAAAAAAAAAAAAAAAAAAACGCAAATTTCTTTACCTGCAAAAAAAAAAAAAGAAAAAAAAAAAGTGCATTCATTATTTTTTTTTAAAGGTGAGCTTATCCTTTAAAAATAGACACTAGCGTCACTCTTCGATAATGGACAAAGCTGAAATATTTTTCAAGACATAATTTTATTGCTTTTTTTCCACAACTGGAAGCAATCTGAAACAATTGAAGAAGCAAAGAATGCAACTGTAAAATATTTTCCATAGCGCTAAAATGAATAGTTTACATTATCTAATGCACTCTGAGTCAGCATCCATTCTGCATAGAGAATAATTAGCACAGCTGGTAGCCGGGACTCTTCTGCTGTGTGTACAGTATGCACATAAAGCAGTATTTCCATCCTGAAGACATACAGTGACACCATGCTTTATGAACAATGCTTTTCGACAGTAGATACAAAATTGCAACAAAGATGAACAGTCGCTGAATAAGGGAAAGAGAAGTAAACGAGGACACCCACCTTCTGAAACTTTAGGAAGCTCTGAAGTGTAATAGGTTTGGGGAAAAAGAGCAGAGGACAGTAAGCAAAAGAGTATTAAAGCCAGACAGACAAAGGCTGAATGCATACAGGTGCGGCATATACCAACAAACATTAGCAGTACAGAACCCAACAGACATATTTTGTTGTGCGACAAATACCAACTAAACAGACTTGAGAAAAAAAACTTGACTGTCAAAAACAAGACATGAAAAGAGTTAACTATAGTACTCCAAAGGACAGGCTTCTCTAGGATGTTCGCATGTTATCCTTGAACCAGTAGCTGTATCACTTGATATTATGTGCAAAATAGATCTGTTAAAGGACAGCTGTAGCTCCATAAACAGTTTCTCTAAAATACCCCCTCTAAAGTCAAATTGCGCAAACTTCAGCCCCCCGCCCCCATTCCTTCCTTTATTCCTCAATTGCTTACTTATCTTAGTTTCAGAGCTGCATCCTCCTCTGGTCTTTACAACCTGTTCAATGCTGGCCAAGCATGCGCATTGAGCTCCCACTGACTCTAGGCCAAGTACACCTTTTACATAAACTGTAATATGTAGACAAATGGCCCCAGTAGTTTTAAATGCAGTATACTGCTTGTTTAAATATAGTTCAAAGCAGATGCCATATCTGTAGGCCATTTCTGTCCGCCATGCAGCCTGGCTGAAAAACTCCATTTCATACATCCTTTCATTCTAGGTTAACTGCAGGACACAGCAGCCAATGGCGCTTGCCCCCAGCATTGCAGAAACAAAATGAGCTTCCCATTTCAAAAGCTGTGAATGCATAGTACATGTTCCCTTGTCACCTAATCCCAGGAACGCTGAGCTCAGTCATTGCTTGGATAAGTGAGGGGAGAGAGAGAGAGCACTACATGGCTTTAGAAACGGGAAGCGCACTGCCGCCTGTCAAGCTAAGAGTGAGCGACAACACCTGCTATGTCCCCCACTTAGTACAGGATGTAAGCAAAGGAATTTTTTTTTTTTTTGTAATAACAATTTTTATTGATTTTCAAAAATATACAAACAGTATGTTTAAAAAAAAAAAAGGATAAGAAAAGAAAACAAGCAAAACAGAAAGGTACATTGATGGCAAAAACTGCGTAAGGACAGGACCAACAGAAACATAAAATAACAGTGTGAAGGTTATCAGGACCTTACATTTTGGGCCGGCATAGAGGAAATGAAGGTATCCCATGGGAGCCAAATCATCTCAAACACAGCAAACGAACAATTATGTAGTGCAGTCAAGTATTCCATCTGTCTAACATCAGCAATAAGTTTGTACAGAATCGACATTGAAGGAGGGGTAGAAGACAACCAACACATAGGAATGCTTCTCCTAGCCGTGGTCAGAACATGTACAGCAAGTTTTCCAGATGGTTTAGGTAGACCAGGAAATGGTAGACCTAGCAAAAAATGTAGTGGATCAAGTGGGAGAGAGGTACGCATTAGTGATTGTAACAGGGAGAGAACATCTTTCCAGAAAGGAGTAATGGAGCTGCATGTCCAAAAGATATGATAGAGACAACCCTGGTCTCCACCACAGCGCCAGCAGGCAGGAGAAGCATTCGGATTATAAGCATGAAGAACTTCAGGTGTTTTGTACCATAACATCATGAGCTTGTATATATTTTCCTTAAAAACCACACAAACAGAAGATCTAGATGCATTTTCCCAAATTTTCTTCCACGTTAATAGAGCAAAGGAATTTTGTGGCCAGGATGCACGATGGACAGAAATGACCTAAAAGGTATACGTCTAACTATATATTTTAACAAACCCCACAGAGTGCATTTTAACCTCCCTGGCGGTATGATTATTTCAGATTTTTGGTGCTGAAAGCGGTACCATTTTTTTGCATGGAAATATGTATTTTTTTTATTGTAGGCTGTAATTTTTAGGAAAAACTCACTGAAATCTGTCCGAACAAGAGTCTAGTAAACATCCCGGGTATGATAAAATTTGAAACACAAAATCATAAATTATAATTTAATAAGTAATCATAAAACTAATATAAAAATAATAAAAAATTTAATTCAATAATATAATCAAACCAAAAACACTGAAATGTGAAATATAGCGCCAAGTTCGCACATCACTGAGCTCAGTCGCAAAATCGTTTTCAGTTTCTGATGACGAATTTCCCCCACGAATCATTATCACTCAATTCTGCAAGTGGTTCTGATTTACTATCGCTGTTCTCTAGCTGGTCTAAACCGCTTTTGACCTAAAGGGACACTTTTTGGACGCCATGGACATTTCTCAGTTTCCAGGCAGAAAGAACAGACAAAATGCAGGCAGGGCACAGGACAAAGCACTAGGGACAATATGTATGTGAAATAGGTTGAAACAGCAATGTTTTACTGTGTAAAATGAAAAAAAAAAAAAAAAAAAATGACATTTTTTAAAATTTTTAAATTTCCCGCCGCCGGCGGCAGCGGCGCCCCGTACGTCCCGACGTCACAGGGACAGGACACAGAAGCCGGATGCCGGCATCGGCCGGAGGAGATGGCCGGGGACGCTGCAGGGGACACATCGTGGGAGCGCAGGGTAAGGTAAGTGAAGAACACATGCCGGAGCAGCGCCGCATGGTATTCCCGAGTGTAGCTCGGGGTTACCGCTTTTAGTACTGAAATGTTACCCCGAGCTACACTCGGGAATACCGCCAGGGAGGTTAAAACTGCTGGAACCCCTTGTCTGCATAGGACAGTTTATGTAAAAGGTGAACTTAGCCTCTAACCCTTTCGCTGCCAGGCCCTGCGCTCTACTTTAAACCCAGCTGGCCAGACCCCATTTTTGCAATTTTTCCATTGCTTTTTATTTTTACCTTACAGCTTTCAGAGTTTGTAAAAGACCCCCCCCCAAACCATATATTTTCTGAAAGCACAGGACCAGTAGCATAAAAAAAGAAGGTGCTACTGATTTCTAAGACTCCGTGATGTTTGTCAAAGTAATAAATTATTATTAGCAGATAAAATTATTATTAGCAGATAAAAACACAGCAAATTTTACTAAATTGCTGCTAAATATAAAAGTTTAACCTGCACGGAGTTAATAAATAACAAATATTTGTCCATTTTAAATTGCGCCTTTTTGCAAAAATGGTGAAAATTGAATGTACGCAAAAATGTAAATAACCACATCTCTCAAAAAATCTGAAGGTTTTAATTTTTCACTTACAGCTTTCAGAATTTGTAAAAGACCCCCAAAACCATATATTTTCTGAAAGCACATCAGCAGTAGAATACAATTAAAAAAAAAAAAGAAAAGTGCTACTGATTTTTAAGGCCCACAGCTCAATTGCATGTGCAGTAACCACAGGGAAGCCGCATGGTCAAAAAGACGCGGATGAGTTTTGGAAAAGGTGCATTCACCTTTTTTTTTTCATGAAACAGGTAAAAAAAAAAAAACCAAAAAAAAAACCCCCTGTACGATCTGTCAGTGATTAAGGAATACAGAAGTGATCTGTAGTGACCCCTGTCTCTGTATTCATTGAGGAAAGGAAAGGGGCTGGTAAAAACATGTTGTGGTTTGCGAAGGGGGGGGGGTGGAGTAAGCAGGGCAGGCAGGGAGAACCACTGTATAGAGAGGATGGGGGACACTGTCACATTTTAGGTTAATAGCTCTGATCAGCAGCTTGTTAGCCGCTAAGTCAGAGCTATCCTTTTGTTCAGCGGAGTCTGGAGCATGAGCTTATAGCAGAGGAGGATGGCAGGTCCATACAGATTTGGCCAGCTAAAAGCAGTGCTATAGGTCCAAACGCTGTATGGACCTGGCAGTGAAAGGGTTAAGTCAGTGGGGGCCTTAACTTTATTCATATAATATACACAGTATTTCAGCAATGCTGACTATGCAATATGGATCCAGTTCCTGAACTGTAACAAGCTACTACCCGACTGAAGGGAAAAAGAAGGCATCAGTGTAATTTTTAACTGACATTTCCCACAGCTCATCATTTTCAAAATAAGATTTCCTTTTATTTAGGTGTGGGATGATTAACTCCATTGATGACGAAATATAGTCTCCTAAGGACCTACCTTCCAAAAGCTGCGGACTGACATTGGCAAGGTCAATTTTTTTTCTCAGGTATCTTTGGTTTAGTTTCAAGATACAGGAAATGAAAGCATTCTTTTCAGCTGGACTGCTGGCGACCCACTTGTAGACTTTATCAAAATGCAGATCAAAGTCAGGGTTTTCCTAGAAAGAAAATAGATTCATATTGGCACAGTTGTAATACCCACCTATCGGTCATCAATATACAAGAACTAGGGGGTGTATTAGTAAACGGTCGCCCAGGATTCATTCAAAGACTCGCAAGCTTTTCTATTTGAATTCAATTTGAAAATTGTGTGACTCCTGGATGAAATCTGTGTGTATCTTTTGTAAAAACCACATATAAAAACAGACCTAAACAGTGTCTGGATTTGCCACAAAGTCAAATAAAATTTTCACATCAATACAGAGAATTATTTTATTAGCATACTAACTAAAAAACAATGAGGCCTGTAGCATGAATCCTTTAAAGTGCTTAACTGCAAAGTACTAAAGCTGAGGTTTAGTTAATGCTTTCTCTGGGATATAGGTTCAGTAATATTACATACCACTAATGAAGTATATCCCATGTCCTGCTCATTACTCCTAAGTGTAGAAATGTTCCTGCGGTGAAAACAGGTCCTCTACACATTGCTGAACTTCCAGGGCTGAGAGAACTAACTTCCTTGTCTCTAACATTGTAGTAAATTAGGATGGTTGCCTTACATTTTCTCTCCTCTCATTCAGAAGAGCACTTGCATAGTTTTCACTATATAGGTGAAGGGCAGATCAATGGCAGGAGCCTCATCCTCACTCAGATGGATCTCAATGTAGAAGAGAAAGGGGTGGGCAACCGTTGGTACTACATTGTTAGCATACATTTACAGCACTGATCTGTGCCATGATTAAGTGACTCCTGTGCGCATGAAGAGTTATTGCAGCCTAGTCAGCCAAGCGGCCGAAGGGTCGGAATCCAAAAGGAAGGCTGGGAAAAGATGACAGTGCCTGTAACTGATGGGAACACTGAAGCGCAGCGGTAGAGATCACTTGCCAGGTAAGTCTGCCATAACGAGCTTATTTGCTGTGCATAATAGCTTATAATGACTAAAAAAAGAAAAAAAAAAAAAAAGTTTGATGGAGGTTTCATTCCACTTTACCCAAACACTGCCAGGATGTTCAGCAATGTGAATAGGACCAGTCATCACTGCAGGCAATAATTTCATACTAAAAAAGCAACTAGCAGGATATTCTTCATTAGGTGTAAAAAACCAAAAAAGTTCCTGGACCTACAGTGTATCCCATAAAATAAAAAATTAACTAAACTTCACCATTAGAGCCCAGCCTTCCTCTCACCCTCCTCTAAATAACTGCTGCCATTAAAAAAAAAAAAAAAAAAAAACAACACACACACACACAAAACTATCCGCAATTTACTTACCTGAAGCTGTGGTCAAGTGATGCTGCTGACCCGATCCTTTTCATATCTTCTGTTTACTTCTGGGGTCCATCTTCGGGTGTCCACATCATCGCCTGCTTGATCTGGACACCGCTAATTGGTGGAGGCAACAAGTCCAGCAGCCAGGTCCTCTCTCATAGGCTCCAGAGGTAGAAGAACTCATGGAGATGGTGAAGGGACTGGTGCCCAGGAAGATTACAATCAGGGAGAAAGTTGCAATCTCCAGGGCAAGAAGTTAGCTTGGCTCATAAAGGAAACTGTGACTTTGATGGATTACACTGTGGGGTGGCATAGGAGGAGGTATTTGGAATCAAGACTGAAGAGTAAAGTAACTGATGAACAATGCACTATTTAAATGTAATTTTTGCCTGGAGCTGGAAATTAAATAGTTTCCTGTAGAGAGTAATTACTTCTCCCACTGCCCATGTTGCCTAAGGTCTAATAAAGAGACATTGTCCTTGAAGTCTCTTCAGACATCAACACTTCCAGGAGTGCTCAATGGTTTCTTCTACCACTTACCCCTATGTCCCTACAGGACACAGTAGTGATGTACGAGTGGGAAGGAAAAACCACTGAGCAGAGCAGAAAACCAAAGACTGACTTTCCCAGAAGTGTTGGTGTCTGAAGAGACTTCACAGGGCGATTTCTTTTTATGACAATTGTGTTCAACGGTTCAGACAGTGGTACAGGTAAATATCTACTATTTTCTTTAAGGGGAATTGTTTTATTTACCCTTTGAGTTAAACAACAGAGTAGATTTAAAGCCCGGCAGATGAGCAGCAATATTTACTGGGTAAAAGTCCGCGTGAGTGAAAACACAGCTTACCTTGAGGTCATCTTTGGCATCCACCATTGTCAGGTCTTGCAGCAGCCATGTGGTCTGGGTCTTATAGAAATCCCCTTTGTCAGATTTCTTTACTTTCACCACTCGAACATGAACTGGACGCTCCGTTGTTACTTTAGAAAAAATTGGAGAGTTTTGTATTTAATGTGAAAATCACAATGGATTAAAAAAAAAAAAAAAAAAAACTCTGCTATCAAAACCAGCAAAAGCAGATGCATGTTTGAACATGTTATGCAATGTGTCAATGTATGTTGCAACATGGCAGACAATTCAAAATGAATGGGCTGCCAACACACCAAAAATGATGCATGCACCATTTCTGGCAGTGCATAGTAGTGTGCTGCAATGCACATACGTCAGCAGGGTGCCATTCAGAATAAATGACATTGCATTGCACCAACAAATGCAACCTGCATTGCTGCAAATTACTGAAACACAATAGCATGAATGAGCTCTCAAAGTCACACTTACTCCAAACTCTTCAGCATGTATAAAGGACCCATTCACACTGTTCTGTCTTTGCTGCATTGCATTAGCATGCAATACAATATGGCAGCCCCTTTCATTTAAACACACTGACAACATCCCAAAAATTGGACATACATCATTTTTTCAGGTATACTTCATCACAATGCACAATAGTACATTACTGTGTGCTGTGGTGTGCTGCAAAGCACGTGCATAGGGGTGCCACTGAAAATTAATCACATTGTACTGGAGAGGTGTGAATGGGCCCTAAAGAGAAAGCAGTACTAATGAGAGAGTACACGTTTTTAAGGGCTTTGTGGCTAACGAAAAACAATAATGTGAACTTCCAAACTGTAGGCATAAGTAATACCAAGGTACACTGGCTACCTGGACCCTGAAATTGACCAGCAACATCTGCTGTGTGCATGACAGAGAAAAGCAAAACATAATATAGAACAGCTTGGATGACCTGAAACCTAAAGCGTTAAATACACAATGCATAGGATACAGCTAACCTTACATTACTAAGTGCTTTAATTGCTCAGAAAAAAAAAACATAAAAAAAGGTAATTGGAGGTTAAGTAAGCAGTTCCTGCATTAGCAGCCATTAGTTACTGTGTAAGCTAACTCTCCATCTAGATTGCCTGCACCTGTTGTCCAAGTCCCTCGCGTACCTGTGATATCTAGTGAAGCAAGAAAACGAAAAATGATGGATAATCACATATGATGAATAATAAAACCCTATTATGTGTTGTTAGTGTATATTCCTGAGTCAGGTTTGTATCTCTGCCCAAATTGCTACAAGTTGAGAAAGTCCAATGGCCTTCGTTCATATCACTATTGCCAATATAAAAATGTGAACCGATAGCCCCTTTAAAATAACATGTTTAATACCTACCTGTCCAGCAGCACGTAAGGGTGCTATTGCTACTGCTAGATGATACTTTCTTTTGTGTCAGATAGCATATTACCTGCTGCAAACTGCATGCCTCTCAGTGGCCGCTACCATCAGAGCACGCTAATGATGCATCAGTCAGCAAGCTCCAGGAGAAATGCTATCCGATTTAAAATGAAAGAAAATTATTACATTTTCCCATCCATGCTAAACAGGTGGATAGGGGCATTTCTTCTGTCAGCTATTGTATTCAGCAGCCAATAGTTTACCACCTTGCTCAACAAAAAAGTGATTTTAAAAATCAACTGAGCCTGGTAGAAAATGATGTTTGCAAAGCCACCCACGGATCGAATTTCAGCCGATTTAGTCGGAGTCGCCCATGATTTAGGCTATCAATGGCCAGCCTTAGTTTCTACTGTGCCCTGTAGTGACATAGCAGACTGCGGGTCAAACCACAGCATGCAGTGTGGTTCGTAGGCATTAAGCACCACCAGACATGATGAAAATACTTTGTTAGGCATAGTTCTTCAAGAGAGAAGATCAGAACCCAAGTCTGCATATCTGCTATCAGTTTCATTTTTAAATGTATTCTGTATTATGGAAAATGTGGAGGGTACAAACACCCACAACTGAGAGCAGAGGTATCTACTGGAAACCTCGAAACATAAGAAGCTAAGAACTTCACCAGGAACCACCTATAACTAGAATATCCCTTTTAGATTGCCTGACCCTCTAATACATTGGGATACTCATATGCCTGCATAATGTACAGTGCTGTGAAAAAGTACCGGTTACATTTACCGGTCGCAGTTTTTATGGGAAATCTTCCAGCATGAAAGATGAGAGATGACTAGCTCCACCTGACATGAAACACAATAAAAAATTGACAGAGTTTAAATCCCCCGCCCTTTCCTCCCTTTCTCAGTTAATGCAAGAGTATTCCCGCACCCCGATGCACGAAAAGTATTCTGCCAATTTAATCAACACCAGATAAGGGTGGGAAGTAGGCCTGCAGTCCTGGAAGATTTCCCAGAAACACCATTACCGGTAAGTGTAACTGGTGCTTTTCTCTCGTCATCTTCCAGGACAGCAAACCAGAGACAAGCAAGGAACTAAAGAACTCAGGCCTACCTTAGGGTGGGACTACTGCCTAGAAATACGTTCCTACCGAACGCCAGGTCCTATGGTAACAACATCTCTACCCTGTAGTGTCTCATGAAGGTGTCCTGGCTTGTCCATGTGGCTGCTCAGCAGATCTGTTCAACTGATGCTCTTGCCCTTTCCACCCAAAAGGTCGCCAGCGATCTAGCAGAGTGAGCCCTCAGGTATGAAGGAACTGTAACCCCTGACTGCTCATAAGCTAAGGAGATGGCTTGTCTGATCCGTCTAGATATTGTTGGTTTAGATGCTTGCTGTCCCTTCCTTGGGACACTAAGCAAAAAGGTGACTAGACTTCCTGAAGTCACTTACTCCAAATATGTCAGCAAACACCTTCTGACATCTAAGAAATGAAAACTTTTTTCCCTTTCATTCTTAGGGTTTTGACAAAAGGACGGTAAGACAGTCTCTTGTGGGCACTGTTCTTTTCCGCTTTGTGTTTCACTTGACATACTGTCCAGGATCAAAGAACGGTAAGCTCAATGCACTCTCACGTATGTTTCATGACCCAATTGTACCATCCGAACCTGACACGATTCTGCCAGCTAAGAACTTTTTACTCCTACAAACTTTTACTCCTTGTGGCACAAATAAGAGAAGTGGTTGATGATCATCCACCCCCCTTGCAGATGCATCTTCAGCTAAGAGACGGTCTGTACCTTCACAAGGAACAAATTTACATACCAGAACAACTCAGAACTCTCATCCTTAAAAGATGTCATGATCATCCTTTAGCGGGTCACTTCGGGATCCAAAAGACCTCAAATTTGGTCTCCCGTTGCTTCTGGTGGCCAAACTTAATGAAGGATTGTAAGAACTATGTTAGATCTTGCTCAGTATGTCTCCGAAACAAGTCTGATAAAGTCAAAACCTGGGGCCTGTTGGAATCTCTGCCAGTACCTGAAAAGCCATGGAGTATGATTTCTCTGGATTTTATTGTAGAGCTTCCCCCATCTCAAGGGTTCACCACTATTTTTGTCATGATTGATCGTCTGTCAAAGATGGCTCACTTCATTCCCTTGAAAGGGACTCCTTCTGCCGCTGAGACTGCTTCTATCAGAGAAATAGTAAGATTACATGGTGTTCCTAACAATATTGTGTCCGATCGGGGAGTACAGTTCACTTCTAAGTTCTGGAAAGCTCTGTGTGAGGCACTAGAGATCGAACTTCGCTTCTCTTCTGCGTATCATCCGCAAACAAATGGACAAACAAGACTCTGGAACAATACCTACGATGTTTCTCATCTTATTCACAGGATGACTGGGTGTCTCTCCTTCCGTTAGCTGAATTTGCATACAACTCCATCCACTCTGCTACCAAACAGTCCCCTTTTTACTCCAACTATGGATATCACCCTTCCTTCCTTCCTGAAATACAGGTGGAACCCGCTGTCCCAGCAGTACAAGAAAGGATGGATTTCCTCAGTAGGAACGGCCAAATACTACAAAAACTATTTTAGAGGCTCAAGCAAGTAACAAAAAATTTTTGACAGAAAAAGAAGGGGCAACCTAAATCTGAAACCAGGAGATAAAGTCTGGTTATCTACCACAAACCTAAAATTGAACGGTCCTTCAAAAGAAGCTTGGTCCAAGGTACCTGGGACCATTTACAATTAAGAGAAAAATTAACCCTGTGGCTTTCAAATTAATACTACCAAAGAATATGAAGATTCATACGGTATTCCATATCTCCCTGTGAAAACCAACTATACCAAGTGTATTTCCAAATCGAGATCCGGAGACCCCTTCTCCACTGGTGGAAGGTAATGAAGAATAGGAGGTGGAGGCCATCCTGGATTGTAGAAAGAGGGGTGGTCAGACCCAGTTCCTCATCAAATGGAAAGGCTACGGTCCAGAGGATAATTCCTGGGAACCATCTGCTAATGTCCATGCTCCACGGTTAGTGAAGGCTTACCTTCATCTTCATCCTGAAAAACAAGCTTTAGTAAGCAACCGGAGGCTGCCCCTAAGGGGGGGCACTGTAAGGGAATTCCCGTGAGACGGCTGGCGAATAGACGTGCGCATGCGCACAGAAATGCGCGATCGCGCACACGTACACACACGGCGAAGATTGGCGTCAGACGTACTATTTATATTTCAATATTTTTTATTGAGAAACAGACTTATAATAGCATAAAACAGGATGGCAAAAAAAAAAAAAAAGGGGTCCACCTACATGGTGGGACGTTATATAGAATCACAATCACAACACGATAGGCACGCAAAAAACTTGACTAACAATGGCAAAAAGGATACACACAGAGAGTGACATTACCATCAAGACGTACAGGTTTCATCAATCAATAAACAAACAGAGACTGAAACTGTAGGAATAAACCAAATGTAACAAAAACAATGCAGCGGATAAAGTAGAAAAAGAGAGAAGAAAGAGAGAAAAGAAAGAGGAAACAGCTCCTAAGAAAAAGGAAAAAAATAAGGGGGGGGGGGTCAGCTGTAAGACTCTCACGATACAGAAATGTAACTAATTCAAGGCTCCCAAGTCCCCTCAAATCTGGACACATTGTCATTGACAAAACTTATAAGTTTATCGTTTACCATTAAAGTTTATGTTTCACCCTGTCTAACGGGATCA